GTATGGCTGTGTGCAGTGGAGACCACGCGTGGGTATACAGTCTGACCGCCAACCTTCACTCACTGTTGGTCTGTTCATACATCTTGTTCTGACACTATGTGTGTATTTTTTTGTTTCACAAATGTATTTGGCAGCAGTAGATATATAGAGTCTGTATAAATCCTTAGCTTGGTAGAGTACTTCTGCATACTTAATTGTAATTCTTCATTCAGGGGCATTTTTGCCCCACCCACGCATCATCTGAGAAGTACAGTTGGGTAGCTTCTGGCTGTCTGCTGTGGATTTGTTAGTGAAAGTTTATATGTTTTTCACAGAATGATTGTCTGAAAGCTCTGCCCCGCCCCCACTTCCCTGGAGAGGTACCTGTGCAAGTCAGTGTATTAGACTTGGAAGAGTTGGAAGATGTGGCTGCACTTGGTTTTGCTCTGTCCCCACTTCAGCAGTATTTACCTTGTTATAAGAATGCTTCCAGAAATGAAAAATGCAAGCACCACTGTGCCATAGCATGGTGCCAGTCCACTCCATTGACAACTGCAGCATTTGTGGGCCCCAGGATGAGGTGGCTGTGGGTGCCCTGTGTAGTATGCAGTGGCTCCCATGCTGCTGGTCATGTGGATGGACTGTCCACAGCCGTTTTCTCAGCTGGGCTTGAGAGAACTGCAGGAAGACGAAGCCTCCAAGCACCATCAGCACACTACAGAGGCATCCTGCATTGGGTGGTGGGTGGTGACTATACAGGAAAGAGCCTTTGCCATCCCTGGGTCCTCATGGCAGGGCCATGATTTGGCACTCTTGACCATCACTCACAGTTTCCTCCTGTGCCAAGAGGGTAACTGCTAAACTTCCCAGTGTCAGAGATCTCTGATATGCTTGAACGTGAACTCTTGAGTGTTGAGTGTGAGGGGTTTGGGGGACCACCTTCCTATCATGAATACTCACTCAACTTTGGAATATCATCCTGACTTGAGACTTTATATTTACATGAAAGAACACAGAATTTGAATGGCCTCTGATGTCACTACCTATCGCAGATGCTGACAGTTCTGTGCACTATAGGTAATATGTCCTGAGATTGATTGTTTTGGAACGGAATAGCCCTGGTGGTATAAGTCCTGGCTGCCCATCAGTGGTGTTATATGTGAATCTGATGTACTGGTAGGACGTGAGTGTTGTGGCCTTGGGGCTGGTATGGGCGTTATGGAGAGTTATGGAGTCTTCTGTATCTGCAGTTCATCCATGCCCCTAGATGAAGACCAGGTTAAAGGCCCAGTGTGACCCTAATACAGAAGAAGACTGCAGACCTGTTTATGCCCAACTGTAACCAGATGTGACCACTGAATGCTGCCTGTATATGACTTCTCTTTTTCTTTAGATGTTTAAAACTTTTCTGTGTATGATTGTTCTGCCTGGGTGCATATCTGTGCACTGTATGTGTGCCTAGTGCCCACAGAAGTCAGAAGAGGGTATCAGTTCCCTTGGAACTGGAATTATGGACGGTTGCGAGCTGCCATGTGGGTTCTAGACTTCAAACTCAGGTCCTTGTCAGAACAAGGTCTCTTAATCACTGAACCATCTCTCCAGCTGCTTGCATGTGACTTCAAGGGAATTTCCTCCTGAGATGCAGGTCCTGATGAAATTTCTCTTGTCTGGCTTCTTTGAAAGTTTGGTGGAGACTCTGGATTGAGGACTTTTGGACGATAGTGTGGTAGCTAATTCTGCGTGCGACTGTCCACTTGCTGAATCTGCTATGCCACGCATGACTGCCCATCTCCTCAGGCCCGACCTGCAGTGCCTGGAGGTTGTTTTACAGGTTTCACCCACGTGCACACACAGGAGTTCTCCCTCTTGTAAGTCAGATATCTGGCAACCCCTCCCAACTTGTGCTCAGATGTAAAACAGACCACCCTGTGGTGTGGAGAGGGAGGGAGGGAGTAGTGGAGGTGGTGGTGGTGGTACCTCTCAGCACTTTGGGTGTTTATAAGGTTCAGCGGAAGGCACCAGCACCCAAAGAAGAGCTGTTCCATAGCCCCAGAGATCATTTTGTGTAGGGCATTGACCACACACAGGCATCTTTGGTTGTCATGATGTCCACTGTGTAGCTTCCCGTAGACTCGGACCTAACTGCTTGAACTCTGCTCTAAGCACATTCAGCTTAGAAGGTGACTGCAAATAATGTTCAGTACGAAAATCTTTTTTACTTTCAGTTTTTACTTTGTAACCCAATCTGCCTACAACTGTGCCGCAGGCCTGCAACACTGCATCTGGCTCCTGAAGACTTATTTCTTACCGTTCCCTGTCAGTAAGAGTGGAGTAAAGTCTATTTTATTGGTTTATTTGGACTTCTCATCTTCAGAACTGTGTATGTTGGGTTGCAGAGGAAGCAGGAGATAAATGGAATCTTGGAGGACACTTAGGCCCAGGGTAAGGTCTGGGGGTTGCTGTTGCTCATGAACCCGGTCATCTGAACCACACTGCCTTGATTCTCAGTAGAATATAACCAAAGAAAGCCAGGATGATAGCATAAGCAGCAAGGCGTGAGTCACTCAGCTCAAGGAAGCGTGTCATGGCTCCCTGTGCCAGATTTGTATAACAAAACAGATAACACAGGGCAGGCAGATGCACCCAAAAGGCACAGCACCCTACAGAGCAAGAAGCCTGTGCACGGTGGCCTATGACAGGTATTACCTGTCTGCTGTCTCCATGTGGAGTCTTCCAATTTAACTGCAAAGATGGTTTTGTTAGTTGGGTGTGGGGCAGCTCATAGTATCAACTAGAGAATGTCCACCCCAGCTACTGCCAACTGCTGATATTGCTCACCTCCCAGCCAGTTGTGATCTTTCGGGCAATTCTGGCTGTACCCATACCTTCCCCTTTAATGACTGTGGGAGCCTGGGGAAGAAAGCCCTAAATTCTTATCCACAGCCCCAAACTCAGACCTCTCCCTCCCCAGGACCTGGGTGGTGTTGGAGTCTGTACCCTCCACTCCCCACCACACCGCTGGCAGTACCTTGGTTACTCAGCTATTCACATAATAGCAAGGGTGTCCCAACACTGAAGGGGTGGGGACTCTGTCCTCAGAATCTGCCGTTAAATCTCCCCTGTACCTTGGCCTCCCCTGCCCTTTCAGTCTGGCAGTGTAGCTCACTAGCTACCCTACCGCTGATGCTCTGGCCTTAGAGATGCATCTCCAGCACCTTGTGGCTGCTCCTGCTTTAGGGTAACATCTCTTCTCTACTTTTGTCCATCTGTCCCCAGAGCAGTGACCCCTCAAGAAGAAATGCTAAACGGCTGCCCGCTCTGATTTTGGATCATCCAATACAGTTTCTGAAGGACATCACATAATAAGATGGTTAACTAGAAGATAACAGATTAGTACCATACACTAACAAGCCATCCCTGGGCTACTAGGGAAGCAAACCTTTCTCTGGATAACTGATGTAGATGGAAGATTAGCTTTGCTTTTCGGTCCTGATTGTTTTCTCCAGTTCTGGGAATTGAATGCAGGTCCTCAACTATGCTGAGCACACCCTAGCCTCAGGTCCTAATATTTTTTTTAATGCATATGTATACTATAGTGAAGACCTGTGGTGGGGCTGGGCTGTTGAAGGCTCAGAAGGCATTCTGTGGAGGATGGAGAGAAAAGTGGAGATTCCGAGCGCAGTGGGAAGCCTTTAGTGAGGGTGTCCCTGGTGGCCTGCAGCTGTGTGGGGGAGGGATTTATTTAGGAAGGCTGGATGAGCCGGTGTAAGGAGGGAGCCTCAAGCCCGCTGGTGAGGCGTGGCTGGGACCCACCCTAGCGCCTAGCAGGTGGTCATCACTCACTTTGCCCAGGATTTCATGGTCAGTGACTTCACTGCCCTTAGTGCTTTTACCAACTCAGATTCGCCCCCAAAGATCCATTTTTAAAGTTACCCCCCCACGACTTGTAGACAGGACCAGAGACCTTCATACATACTTCGCTGAAAGTTACTGCTGGCAGGTTTGGGGCCACAATCCCCCAGGGAATTCTCTTCTCCAGCCGGAAGTCCAAGTGGTAAGCCTGGGGCTTCGGAGCTGAAAGGTCCCTGGCCCTGCCTCCCCAGACATCAGTGGGGCGGGACTCAATTCCGGGGGCGACACGTCCTAGGAGAGCTAGACGGAAGCACTGGGTCTGACACGTGGACTTGGGCGGTGCTGCCCTGTGGGTTGGCCTCGGCCTGAGGTGGGAGGGCACGGTACCGGGACACAACGGTGCCCATGCCATCTCAGCTCCCCAGCCTGATGCAGCCAACACCGGAGGAAGCCCGCAAGACCCCATCTGCAGCAGCAGAGGATACACAATGGTCCAGGTGAATGGGGATGTGGGTGTCGCCCGGGCAAGGAAGACGTTTACGTTTAAGGAGACGCTGCTTCACGGGACCTGAGTTCAGGGAGCACCAGACTTTAGGGGTACCTTCCAACCTCTCTGTAACCTGCCACCTTCACTTCTGGGACTGGCATGCTCCTCCCTGGGCGGCTTAGCCCCCCCCCCCAAGAGAGGGAGGACACAAATGCTCAACCAAGTAAAGGGACCCTTCTTTTCTAATCAAGTACCAAAATCTGGCAAATGGCCCCTTAGCTCTTCTCCCAGTTTTCTGAGGTCTGGGATGCTCAGTGAAAGCACTGGGCTAGACAGATGCTCACAACCTGGCGATCCAAGCAGCACCTCTGTGTCACAGAGGCAGGTCTTGAGTTCACAAGGCTTCTGAACTAAGAAGAAACACAGACAGCAGTTACCCATCCTCAGTCATATTACTTTCCCACTGTTCCCACTGCCCTTCAGGCAAGTAGCCCCACAGAAACCAGGCGCAAGAAGGTGGCATCTGGCCAAGGGACCACCGAGAGAGGGTTCAAACAGGAGACCAAAAGCCCAGAAGAGACTCAGAGTACAAAAGAACTCACACCCTGCTCTGGATTTTGAGGCCCCCAGGTGGAGGTGCTGGACCCAGAGCCAGAGTCAAACCTTGGCACCTCCCAGTCACCTGAGGCAAGAGCCCTGGATCTACAGGGAGGAATTTCTAGGTCCTCCTAGAGCAGCTAAAAGGCACAGCAGGAGGTCATGGAGAGGTGCAGAACCAGATCTCCACCCGCGAGGACAATTAGGAGAGGGCCAGAAGAGGAGCATCATGTGCTCTCTCGCTCGCGCTTGCTCTCGCTCTCTGGTTTACTACCTCCCATCCTACCCCACGTTTGTCCCAATGCCTCTGCACCACCTGGCCCCTGGAGGCACCACTCTGGACTTTCTGAGAACTCTAAACTGTGTGCCAGTTTTGCTGTAGGTTATAATTTAATGACTCTGCCTGGCCCTTTGCTGCTCTCCCTGTAAGCTTGCTCCCATCACCTCTGGCCGAGGCGGTGGCGAGAATTTGGGGGGGGGGGGCGGGTAATAAGTGTTCTGTCTACCCACCATCTCGTCCAGTCCTCTTTGTGACTTGGGAGGCAGTGCAAATTTTGGGGTGTGGGGAGGTTGGTGGAGGCTGAGTTAGGGAGATATGGTTCCAGGGTACGCTCTGGTCTCTCTGATGCCCTGCCTACTGGTGCCAGCACATTTTCCCTTTCTGAACCAAGGGCCATGTGACCACCCATTTGCTCAGCCCTGGATGCTCTGCACAGGCTTCAGAAGCCTGGGAGGAAGTGTCATGCCTGCTAAGAGTACCAGTCTGGCAGTCTGGCGCCAGTCGGGCAGGTGGAGCTTTTCAGGCAATCCTGACTCAAGCTCTCGGCAAGATGAGGGATCATATTTTTTTGTTTTGTTGTTTTTGGGTGTTTTCTTTTGTTTTTAGTTTTTTTGAAACAGAGTTTCTCTGTGTAGCCCTGGCTGTCCCGGAACTCACTCTGTAGACCAGGCTGGCCTCGAACTCACAAAGATCTGCCTGCCTCTGCCTCCCAAGTACTGGGATTAAAGGTGTGCACCACCACCACCACCCAGCTGATAAGGGATCTTGGACCTGGGGTTCTAATTAGTCCTCAGGCAGCTGACCTAGCAGGGCCCCTCCAGAAGGACTTAAGTGTTGCCTAGGCCTTTTCTAAGGGGCCACCAGGAAGTTTGAGACTCCTCTCATCTGGAGGGTGTGGGTCTAATTGACTTCCTGCTTCTAACTGGTCTCTAGCAATAACAGGTCTGGGGAAGAACAGCATGCTGTGTGGCTCCCTCTTGAGCACAGGTGACTCTCTGCTGCATTGGTCACATAGAGGACACCTTTGGATTGTGTACTTTAGTGGGTGACTGAGTGCCGCTCCTGTGCTCCTGCTGAGACCCTCCAGTCAGCTGAAACAAGCCACCCGTTCTGCTCTTTTGCATATAGAGTCCTCACCTAGGGCTGGGCTTCTGCAAGCAGGACACCCTCCAGGGCAGCAGTGCTCTGCCTGCATGTATGCCTGTGGACCAGAAGAGGGCACCACATCTCATAGATGGTTGTGAGACTCCATGTGGTTGCTGGGAATTGAACTCAGAACCTCAGGAAGAGCAGGCAGTGCTCTTAACCACTGAGCCATCTCTCCAGCCCCTCCAGGGCGGCTTTAATGCTTTACTGGATGCCCCGTGTTTTCAATAATCCAGTGACAATGTTTGCTCAGGATACTGACAAGAAATAAAAGCAGAATTGGGGGGCAGGGGTTGCTGTGTTCTGGGCTCTTACTGGGAAGAGTTCTGTTAAATCCAAGAACAGAGTCTTGAGGAGATAGGAGGGGAAGACTCAAAAGCCCAGCTCCTAGAGGCCTGGACTATGTACATGTGGCACCAGCTAATGGGGACAAAACATTACTTGGACCAACTGTTGGTAGTTTCCCCAGCTAATACGCTTCAGACCCACTGATTTCACATGGAGTCTCACCAGACGACGATCCCCTCCTGCCTGCTGTCCATGCCTCGTCTTCTCTGACTATGGAAGAAAGTAGTTTCTCGGGAGCCCAGCCTGAAAGTAGCTTGAGCTCTGAGTCTTCCTCCTCAGCCAACAGAAGATTTGTTGACATCATATTTGCTAAGCTTACAGCTTGCTGCCCTCCCCAGTGCCTGGGTCCCCGGATAGGTGGCAGAGGGCTCAGTTCTTCCTGGACCTACTCAAGAGATTCCTTCCTGACTCTGGGGTTCAGAGGTTCCTTGCCACACAGTAGACACCACGTTGGCCATTACCAGGGCAGACCTCAGAAGTTTCCACCTCTCCTGAGCTCTCTGGAAGGAGCCTGCGGCTGGTCCCCAGGACCCCACACATCTTTTGGGGAGTACAGGGTGTGTTGCCTCCAGAAGCCCGTCTTTCTGCTGCCTGTCTCGCTGTTCCTTCTCCTCTGTTCTGCCTGCTGCTCCTTGACACCCACACCACCTTCTTCCCCCGCTAGACAGGGATCACACAATTTAGGTTCCTGGCTTGTGACTCAAAGTCTTCTCTGTGCCATTTTATTCTGACTTTGCTGCTCCCATGGTCAGTCCATTCTGCCTTTTGGCCTTCACCTTTGACCCTGCTCCTGTTTACCTGTGCTGCGACCTTGGGTCCCCCAAGCCTGCTACTCTAACTGGGTATCTGCTAGTTTGTCTCTTCCCTGCTCCATCTGTGCCTGTGTTGAGGAGGTGGGCGGTATCACCTGCCTCAGGACACCACCTCCAAAGAATTTGTGTCCAGTCATGCCACCCTCCTGCCTGCCCCCTGCCAGAAAGGTGGTCCTCCCTCATGCCCTCCCTCCTCCTGTACTGGGCACCCACTTCCCCAGAGCTCAAACCCATTTCCTATTTAAAAAACCTTAACTGTAGATTTCTTCTAGAATCATCATGAAGATAGTTATGCAGAATCCCCAGACGTCCCAACCCACTTCTCCATTGCTGTCCTAGATGGATGGTATGCTCTTGTGAGTCAGTGTGACATTCTAATGGCTGGTGACTGACTGGCCAGTGCTCTGCAGAACATCCGTGTTGATATTGTTGTACAGGGTGTCTTTAAGAGGAGTGTCTCATGGGCCAAGGGCAATTCTCCACTGTCCTGTTGTGGCAGAATCAGGCCAGGTTTGCCTACCATAAACTACGTCAGTCACTCAAACAATGAGCTCTTACAAAAGAGAATCTGCTTGCCAGGTGACCACTCAGACAGAAGAGCAAATCTCAAATCCACCTCCCACTAGAGACATGACTCAGTGGTTGAGTACTTGCCTAGTAAGAGTGAGATCTTATATTTGATTCCCACTAATAGAAAGAACAATAATAAAAAAAGGAATCAGGGGCTGGAGAGATGGCTCAGTGGTTAAGAGCATTGCCTGCTCTTCCAAAGGTCCTGAGTTCAATTCCCAGCAACCACATGGTGGCTCACAACCATCTGCAATGAGGTCTGGTGCCCTCTTCTGGTCTGCAGACATACACACAGACAGAATATTGTATACATAATAAATAAATAAATATAAAAAAAATAAAAAAAGGAATCAGATCCCCCCCCCCAGAGCTGGGGTCTTTCCAGGCTGAGGTGAGGGAATAATGTGGGCCTTAGGTCTATGCATGTGTGATCAGATTCACTAGCAGGACCCAGACCTACATGTCTGTCATCACCATCTCCTAAAATTGCTGATAAAGAGCAAGGAGCCAGGGCAGACGAGGTCATGAAGATTTCCTGTTTCCCTGTTGTCAATAGAATTCTCCAGGCAGATGTTAATTCAAAACTTGAATGTTTAAGAAGCTAGCCGGCACATGCCTTTCATTCCAGCACTCAGGAGGTAGAGGCAGGAGGATCTCTGTGAGTTGAGGCCAGCTCCAGGACAAAACAGAGAGACCCTGTCTTAAAAAGGAGAAGCAGGAACAGCAAGCTAGTTAGTAGCTTACACCTGTAGGCCTAGCACTCTGAAAGCTGAAACAGGGGGATTGCTTTGAGTCTGAAGTCACCCTAGACTCCATCATTCTAGGCTAGTCTGCACGATAAGATGGGGGTGGGGGGTGCTTTGCTTGCTACCCTTCCCTCCAGCCAAACCCACCAGTCTACCACGTGACCCTAACCATATCAGAGAGTTAATTATATCTTCATAGATCCTCCCAGGAAGCATGAACCTGACCCCTGTAATTGGGCCACATACCTCACTCTAAGAGACCCTTTCTTAGTTGGAAGCCTAGGCAGGTTCTGTTCCCCCTCCGAGGCTCTTTGCCTCCCCACTGTCCGACGTACAATAAACCCCACTCAGGGGGAAGCCCTGAGCTCCCAGTTGTGTGAGCTGCTGTGTGAGCTCCAGCTGCCCAGCAACCTTGCCCTGCCCGAATTCCTCCAAGGCAAATTCCCCCCACAGTTCCTTATCCTCTCCTGACAGCCTCTTTCTGGGAAGGCTCAAAGGCTTTGCTGGGGACCTTTGAGGGCTGACTGTACTCCTCCCTAGGAGCCTTCTGCTCCCCCTGAACCTTGCCTTCTTTGGATTCCCATGCTTAGCACATTGCCCTGCACATTGTTAACTGTCTACTTGTTCTGACTCCCTTTCTGCAACCCCATGGTCAACAAGAGACTTGAGGATATGGGCAATGCTGGCATCTGGTCCTCAGCGTGGGATTCTGGTGTAGTCCTGGCACCCTGAAGCATGGACCCAGGCTCTGAGCCTTGTGAATGTGCTGTCACGTGTTTGCCCTGCCTCCGTCCTGAGGGCTCTTGTGTTGTTCTCAGTCCCCAAGTTTAGTATGGACCTTATCTTCTAGAAGTCAGTGGACTCAGTGCCTTTAAAAGTTTATTAACCTGCCCAACTCCCCCACCAAAAAGGTTATCTTGATTCCCACCCTTAGGTATGCACGACTTCTCCGGTCCCTAGCCCATGGGTCGGTATCTGAGTAATCAAGGCTGTCTAGGGGCCCTCTCCGGGTCCTGACCTCTCTCTGTGTCTGTGTCACAGGCCCAAGTGCCAGGCGTGGACGGGGATGCTGTCTGGGGGCCTTCTCCAGGTCCTGACCTCTCTCTGTGTGTCTGTGTCACAGGCCTGAGTGCCAGGCGTGGACGGGGATGCTGTCTGGGGGCCTTCTCCAGGTCCTGACCTCTCTCTGTGTGTCTGTGTCACAGGCCTGAGTGCCAGACGTGGACGGGGATGCTGCTGCTGGGCACATGCCTGCTGTACTGTGCTCGCGTCACCATGCCCGTCTGTACCGTTGCCATGAGCCAGGACTTCGGCTGGAACAAGAAGGAGGCTGGTATCGTGCTCAGCAGCTTCTTCTGGGGCTACTGCCTGACTCAGGTGGTGGGCGGCCACCTTGGGGATCGGTAACCAAACCCTTCTCCCCATTGCTCGGGCTCGAAGGGGGGCCATCACCTGGGTGCCTCCGAGAGGCAGTATGGTCACAGGAGAGGAGGGGCCGGTGGAGGAGGAGCTCAACAGATATTTGGGAAGAGGAGGTCGGGTGTGGCAGCTCTAAGGCAGTGAGTACAGAAACATGACACAGACAGGCCAGGCTCAGCCCCATGCGCTGCACTCAGCCCGAGGCCCCTTCTCGATAGGGCAGGTCACTGCACTGCTCACTTCAAGTGGTTAGTGGTGGCGCCCCTCAGCCCTCTCAAAAAGTCCTTCATCCTGTCCCCACATCTGCTCCAGCATCGGAGGTGAGAAGGTCATCTTGCTGTCTGCCTCCACCTGGGGCTTCATTACGGCCGTCACGCCACTGCTTGCTCATCTTGGCAATGGCCACCTGGCCTTCATGACATTTTCTCGAGTCCTCACGGGTCTGCTCCAAGGTAAGGGCCATCTCCAGTTTTCACCTTGGGAAAGGTTGGACAGAGCGGCATACACACCCGTGTGCCTGTGTGCTACCCTTTGCTCAAAAGTCTGTTCTGTATAACTAAGATATTTATTTGAATGACAGCCTGTGAGTATTGACTCCGGGCAAGGATGGGTGTGTGTGTCTTGACAAAATGTTGCTATCTATGTGCAGAGAGAGGTGATGGAGTTCCCCAAACCTGTGGTTCTCCTTCACAGGGTGGTGGGTCTTTGTCCTCTGAAAAAGTCCCAGGTCCCACACTCTCAAGGAGCAAGAGCTGCCTTCTGAGGATCCCCCATTTATTGACATGGTGATAAAAAGTTCCAAAGGGGAAAAAGGCTGATGGTTCCTGCCTCCCCGTTATGAGTAAGAATAACAGGGAAGCTGTGGGTTCCTATTTTCACACCCACAAAGGGACTTCTCAAGGAGTCTCTTCAGACTGGGGTTTAGAACACTTTATAATGGAGAGAATACTCACACTTTTTCATTTATTTTGAGGTAGGGTCTTACTTTGTGCAGCTCTGACTGGTCTGGAACTCACTATGTAGACCAGATTAACCGATCTCAAACTCATAGCGATTTGCCTGCCTTTGCCTCCCGAGTGCTGGGCTTAGCATTGTGTGCCCCACTATTTCCAAGCTTTTAAGCTGCCTATGAACCAAAGGAGGAAACTGTTTGTAAGAAGCACAGGTAGAGGTGCTTTTCTGGAAAGGTACATGTATGTACATGGCTCACACATGAAAGTGTCTGAAAGTGCCAGAGCACAGCTGAGAATCTGCTGTGTAGACTCTGTGTGCACATATATGTGTAAATGTGTTAGTGGGAAGGCTATTGAGTGTCTTCGGGGAGCTGATGTGAGGCGTATAAGCATATGTGTGCATGCACAACACCCCTGGGTGCAAGGTAGTTTGCCTGGGGGCAGAGGTGTTTTGCTTTGAAGTAAAGTTTTCTTCAAGGGATGCTTTACATTGTAACTCTCACCCTGAATTAGTTTGGTTTCTTCCCTAAATATTGTCAAAAGCCCAGCCCTTCTGGTCCCTTACAGCCCAGTGAAGTAATGGAAAGGAGACATGGATGTCCTTGGGATTCACAGCCCGAACCCAAATGGTGTCCTGGCCCTCACTGGCTGTCTCTTGCCACCCAGCAACATCATTTTCTGTTCATTTCAGGTGTTTACTTCCCAGCCCTGGCCAGTCTGCTGTCCCAGAGAGTACCGGAGAGTGAAAGAGCCTTTACCTACAGCACTGTGGGTGCTGGGTCCCAGTTCGGGTAAGGCCTCACCTACCAGGGATTCGGGAAGCTTTCACTTGAGCCCTTAAGGGCCATCCTTCAAGTCCAGCAGTGATGGTCAGAGTAGAGGTGCTTGATGATTCTGTTGGCTACTGCTAGGTTCCGATGGCTGGTCACTGTCCCTTGAGGACTCTGTTGACTACTGCTAGATTCGATGGCTGATCGCTGTTCCTCAAGTCTGTGACAGTTGCTGCATTTGTTGCTTTGACAAAACAACGGACAAGAAGCAGATTAAGAAGACAGGATTTGCTTTAGCTTGCAGTTTGAGGGTACAGTCCTTAGTGCAGGGTAGTCATGACAGCAGGAAATGAGACAGCTGGACACACTGTATCACTGTCAGAAGCTGAGAGATACCTGTTGGTACTCGGCTCACTTTCTCCTTGGGGGGGGGGGGTTTGTTTGAGACAAGGTCTCACTTTGTGCTCTGACTGGCCTGGAACTCACAGAGACGCCTCTTGCCTCTGCCTCCTGAGTGCTGGAATTAAAGGTGTGTGCCACCACACTGGCTCACTTTCTGCTCTTTATTCAGCCCAGGACCCCAGCCCGTGGCTTGGCGCTGCCAGCACTCAGGATAGTTCTACCTCCCTCTCTGGAAATTAACCTTTCTGGAAATACCTTTGTAGACCCAGAGGTGTGTTTCTATGATGCTTCTATATCTTGTCAAGTTGACAATAAGGTTAACCATCACAGCACGTCTCTGCCTTTCTGGATACTGTAAGCTGAAGCTCCAGCATGCGGACTGGTTGAGCACCCGCTTTTCCCTAGGGGAGCCAGAAGCTGCCCCACCTCTGCAAGACATCCCTATGTGAGCATGCATGGAGGAAGGGCCCCTAACTGTCATACTGGATAGACTCCTGGGAGGTTGATGGGAACTTCTTGGATCATCCAGGCCTGGGTCTACGATTTCTGAGTTCAGGATTGGGGGCTGGGGGATGGGAGCACAGAGGCCACCTGTGTGAGGGGCCAACTCTACGGATTAGGGTGACCTGATTTAACACTAAAGGCTCAGTTCACATTGGGAGGTGTGGATGTCAAAGACATACTAGGGCTCAAATTCTGCAGAGGGATCCAGGATACATCGTCAATCCCAGCACAGCAATCCGGGTTCTATGCATGACCAGGAGGGATGGGAGAGAAAGTGCTGCCCCCACCAAGGGTAGGTTACTGCCCCAGGTGCTGTGCCTGGGACACAGATGAATGTCCAGGAAGAAGGAAGGCTGCTCAACCTCACCCTAGAGCCCAGTGTTCTCGCTCTCTTTCTTGGCTGAGTGCACAGGGTGATGAGGTTGAAGGGTGAGGCAGAGGTGCCCTTTACTGCATCTGAGGCCATAGTACCCTGGAGTCAGTAAAGAGGAAGACTGTGGGGTTTGGTGTTCACAGCCATGTTTTTGCACTTGGAAGATTTTCTAGACTATTATACTCCACAATGTATGGAGGGGAAAAAGGAAAGAAAGAAGGAGTATTTTCACTTCAGTGCTTCCTAAACTACCCTTTCATTGTTACCGTTTTTCCTTCCAAGCATCGACATGACAAATTGTATGTCAGTTTGAAGGTCTAGAAGAAAGAAATTAAAAACGCAATGGCAACAATTCTCGTGCTGAGTTCTTAGCTGCTCCCCAATTCCCCTTGCCCCAACCGTCCCACCCCCCAGTCTCCCTGAAGAGCAAAATAGGTGAGACAGGCCATCTGAGTAGCTCCTTTCCCTTGGGGTTTGACTCATCTGTGGATGGCCACCAAGGTCACTGCAGCCCTCCCTCCTCTGTATCTCCCAGGACCCTGGTGACTGGGGGCATAGGCTCGGTGCTCCTGGACTGGTGTGGCTGGCAGAGTGTCTTCTACTTCTCCGGTGGTCTCACCTTGCTCTGGGTGTACTACGTGTACAGGTACCTGCTGAATGAGAAAGGTAACTATGGCCGTGCGGGCCAGTCCTTGTGCCTCCTCCCCTGCCGGCCGTGCTTCAAACATCTGTTGCATGGACATTTTCTGGGAAGCACGAATAAAAATGCGCTCGCCCCAGACAGGCCACCAACAACAGATCAAAAAAACAATTCCACTCGAGTCTAGCTTGGTCTCACCCCAGCGTGGATGGAATCTCTCCTCACATAATTTCCCAAACCACTGTAGCTGGAGCAATATTACAAAGAGCATGGGGGGTGGGGGTGCCTGCCTACAATCCCAGCACTTGGGAAGCAGAAGCAGGCATATCTCAGAGTTCCAGGCCAGCCTGGTCTACAGGACACAGGGCTACGCAGAGAAACCCTTTCTTCGGGGTGGGGGGGAAGCAAAGGCAAGAGTGGCTGGAATCTTAGGTGAGGGTCTGATGCCAATAGGTATCAGTATTGAGGGTATCTTTGTGGGTAGTCATAGCTGCCTGGTGAAAATAGTTCTGAAAACCCAAGTGCTGATCCCTTAGCCTGCCTCAGCCCTGGATTCTTGTCATATTGTTCCATTGAGGCTCAGGCTGACACAGGGAATCTAGCACATTAAGGCAGGTGGTAGGACTAAGTTGAGTCTTCGGGTAGCAAGAGGAGGCCCCAGAGGGACTCCGGGCACGGGTCCAGGTTAGACACAGAAGTGCACTCTCACGGGTGTTGGCACCTGATAACCACTCCTTAGAAGGGATGGTAGGAGGCACCCCGACTCCTCTGCCTAGCAGCTCCTAACTGGCTGCTGTGTCAGGGACACAGTGTGTAAGTTCATGCAGGTAGGAAAATCCCTGGAATCCCTTGTCCACTTTTTCTGTTGCTGTGGTAAGGCACTGTGACCACAGCAACTTACAGAAGAAAGGGTTTGTTTAGAGTGTCCAGTTTCTCAGGGCTGGGGTCTGAGACCATCATGGCTGGGAGCTATCACTGTGACATCATTTGTTCCCCTAGACCTTGACCTTGCCCTGGATGTCCTGGCACAAGACCTGCCTATGGTCAGGCCCTCCAAGGTGCCCTGGAGACAACTCTTCCGGAAGCCCTCTGTCTGGTGAGCTAGGGTTGGCATGGAGCTGGCTGTGCTGGGCAGGATCCAGTCCTCTCACTCCAGCAAATGTCCCAGGTTTCAGAGGGTAGGGCCTTAGTGTCTTGGGGGAAGGACTGGGTACCACATGGAATCAGTGTCATGGACAGGCAGTGGGTAGAACCCTGAGACCGGTGCCCCACACAGGGCTGCAGTCTGCTCCCAGCTGTCCTCAGCCTGCTCCTTCTTCATTCTACTCTCCTGGTTGCCCACCTTCTTCAAGGAGACCTTCCCCCACTCCAAGGTGGGTAATGCTGCCTGGGTCCTCACAGGGTAAAGAGGGCTAAGCCTAGGATGTGAAGGTCCTGGTATGGGGGTGGTAACATCCTTTGCTTGGCAACCCCATCACCCTACGAGCTTCAGGTCTTGAGATGACAATCCATCTGGGAACAGACGTTAGTTCAAGGCTATGAGAGCTACACATTATAATAGTGGTAGCTACCTCAGCACAAGACTTTGACTTGTTGCCCAGAAGAGCCCCCTCTCTCAGGACTGGCTGGCTAATCTGCTGATGCCACATCCAAGGGAGATCAGTGAACCCTGGAGTTCTTGGCTGTACATTCCCAGGCAGACCCACTTGGCTCTCGCCCTGTCACATGGAACATGTGGGGAACGTGGCTTCAGGTGTCAGCCGTTAGTGTGGACTCAACACTTGCCCAGGGGCTGGTAATGAGCTGGTTAAGGCTGTCCTGTTGGGTAGAGCTCAGATGACAACGAGGAGCTGGGGTAACTGGGGTGGTCCCCTTGCCTGGCTATCATCCAGAGGCTCGGTGCCACCCTGGCCACCTTTGAGGCTGCACCTCTCCCTGCAGGGCTGGGTCTTCAATGTAGTACCCTGGCTGCTGGCAATTCCCGCCAGTCTATTCAGTGGCTTCCTCTCTGATCGTCTCATCAGTCAGGGTGAGTGTTGGGGAAAAATGTCCTGGGTAAACCACTGCCTCAGGGATCTCACTCCGCTCTGGCAATGCCGCTGCATCACTGGGGAAAGACCGTACCACCGTGCTGTGACAGACAGACCATCCTTTAGAGTCAGCTCAGGAATGGATGCAGCCTGGGGCTAAGGAGTCTCCCCTTTAATGGGTAGAGGTTGGGGTCATCAAGGGAATCCTAGTGAACCCTCTACAGGGAAAGGAAGACGTGCATCAAATGTCACAGGTAGCCATATTTGCTCCAGGGGCCACACTGCAGCCCCATGGGGCAATGCCCTTACAGACTCAGGTGTAGAGGCCACATGCACACGTGTGCTCATTTGTCAGGATACAGGTGTTCCTCAATAGAAAGTCGCACATATTCGCTGTGGTAAGATCAGATAATTTGGGCTAAGCTTGCCTGATAGCTGTCACTTTTGCGATGGCCCATGGGGGCTACCTTTCCATATTTCTACCTAAACCGCACAACAGGAAACCCTCTGACACAAGGGTTCAATACCGAACAAGGAAGGGTTCAATCCATGCATGATAGGGGAGCCCTGAGTGTTGCCCTGGGCACCCCAGTTCCTCTTCTGTGACTTTGGACATCTTTAAGGGTCACCCGGATAAGCTGATGGAAACTCATTCTGGGTCTCTCTCCCTCTTAGGTTACAGAGTCATCACAGTGCGTAAGTTCATGCAGGTAGGAAAATCCCTGGAATCCCTTGTCCACTCTTTCTGTTGCTGTGGTAAGGCACTGTGGCCACAGCAACTTACAGAAGAAAGGGTTTGTTTAGAGCATCCAGTTTCATAGGGCTGGGGTCTGAGACCATCATGGCCGGGAGCATGGCAACGGTCAGGCAGTACCTGAGAGAGCTCTCATTTTGAGACACGGCCACAAAGCAGGGAAAGAAACACTGGGAATGGTGTGGCCTTTCGAAACTTCAAAGTCCACTCTAAGACACCCCTCCTCCAACAAGGCCACATCTAATCTTTCCCAAATGGTTCCACCAACTAGAAGCCAAGTATTTAACTATATGAATCTATGGGGGCCATTCTTAGTCAAACCGCCACATTCTTCTATGTTCGTCCCTACTTTGTTATGGACTCCTAGGACCCGAGGGTTGTGTACTCCACAGGCTGAGATCAAAGATATGGGCTGGGAAAACTACACCAACAGGTTTCATGGCTCCAGATACAGTACCTGCCCCTGGCAGGGTCAGCTTAGATTCGAAAGGCTGGGATATCAAACCGTTGGAGGTCAATCCACATCAATAGGACCCAGAAAGGGGCTGCTGTAGGTGGCCCCTGGAAGATGCTCTGGGGTCCATATTAACGGACCTGAGACCCTCTGAACATGGTCTCAGTCCCCTTTTGTGCCAGGGCATGGAGAGCAGGGAAGCCCCAGCCTGGGAGGGGATTTCTTAGGTAGAACCATCCTGATCTTGTTCAAAACACTAGGGGTATTTTGGGCAGGGCCAAGATAGAGCCATATTGGCTAGCATGGCTCCTGGTTTCTCACCAGTGCTGTCCTCCAGGTGATGGGTCTTGGTCTGTCAAGCATTTTTGCCCTGTGTCTGGGTCACACCACAAGCTTCCCCAAGGCTGTCATCTTTGCATCAGCTTCCATTGGCTTGCAGACCTTCAACCAAAGGTAAGAGTCCACAGTTCCATCCCAAAGGGCTGCCAGGTTTTAGTGCATTCTAGTTTGGGGGTTTATAAAGGTGGAGCTAGGGACAGCTCAGTATAATCTGTCACAGTGAGCAAATCTGGGTACCAAACCAGGGTCATTCAAGAAAATAGGAAAGCTTCCCCCACCCCTACCCCCGTGCTAGGAGGAGAGCCCAGGAAGATGAGTGAACATAAATACCAGCTTGATATCACTCTGCAGTCTGTCCCTTCTTTTTGTATCTTGTGTGTTATTCTGAGCAATAGCAATCCCAATTAAGCATCTCAGGAACCCAGTTCAAAGTTGTTTCAAATGAACAGACAGCGAGCCTACTGTGAGCATGCTTCTCTGGCCTTGCGTACATTCTCAGGAGCAGCTTCTAGGGCATGGGGTAGATGGCGCCAGCAGCCTACCAGCGCCTGGCAGGTAGAGGCAGGGCAGGTCTGGGTGTCTTTGGTGACTTACAACCACCCTCTCTTTCACTCTAGTAGCCCCTTCAGGTAAAGTGGCGGTGGCCAAGCCTGTGGCCATTCACACGCCTTCCTTCCTGTTTCCTACAGTGGTATTTCAGTCAATATTCAGGACCTGGCCCCATCCTGTGCTGGTTTTCTGTTCGGTGAGCCACTTGTTTATCTCCACCCACGCCGGTGGGCTGTCCCAGGTGGTTGGGCTGTCGGAGCAACAGGGGAGGTCTTCTCATGGTGTCTCTCTCCATGTCCTGTTCACAGGTGTGGCCAACACTGCAGGGGCCTTGGCAGGTAAGGGGGGCTCTAGGTCCAGGCTAGAGGTTCTCTTGTTCTTAGGTTTGGGGCAGTCAGGAAATGAGCTCAGAGCGGAGCTTAAATGGGGTTTGCCCCATCTCACTCAACCAGGGCTACTGAGTGGGATCCCAAAGCCAATGTGATCCAAAAGTCAACGGGGTCCCAGAGTCAAGGTACAGCACAAGCCCCAAGATGACCCAGGGGGATCACAGATATTTCAGCTGAGGTGCCACTGGACATGGCTGATGGTGGGGGCCTCGCAAGCCATTTTCCCCTGACTCACCCCAAGTCCCATAGTTTAGGGCACCCCCTGGTCCCTCCACTGAGTACCTGGGCTAACAGGCTCATTTCCTACCTTCTGTTGTTTCCCTTGGGTGGGACACGGTATGGGGACACCATCAGTGTGTGATTTGGAGTGGCCTGTGACGTCTCTGTCCTCTGAGACTCCTGTGGCCCACAGCTCAGACTTTGAAACTTATCCCAGGGTTTTCAGGGCATCCATGCCTTGCCCTGCTCTGCCCCTGGAGCCCACGAATGTGTGGGGCCAGCTTCCCTGGAGCATCACTCAGCCTCTGCCTCTCTTGTCCAGGTGTGATAGGCGTGTGTCTGAGTGGCTACTTGATTGAGGCCACTGGCTCCTGGACATGTATATTCGACCTGGTGGCCATCATCAGCAACCTGGGACTGGGCACCTTTCTGGTGTTTGGGAAGGCCCAGAGGGTGGACCTGACCCCTGATCATGAGGACCTCTAGCTCCCTGACTATCCGGTCCCACCCAGGACCCTGATGTCGGCAGCCTAAGGAAAACAGCTCTGTTGGTGAAACCCTGAATCTGCACCTCACATGTGTGAAGCAAACAACAAAGACCACGGTCTCCTGGAGAATCCCAATGAGTCGGAGAGATTGGTGGAGACAGACACCTGAACCCACACGGGCCTGTGTCAGGAGTAGGGTCGTGGCCTCTCTGGACATCAGTGTACCCATCTGCTGGTCAGGACTATCCTGCCCCCCTCCCAGACTCAGAGGGACTGCTGCCTGCTCTTAAGGATTCTGCACTGCTGACAGGGTCTTCCCAGCTCCCGTCTATGTGGGTTGTTTCTCTGTGCTGAAAATGTTTTGTGTGCTAGAAGATGTTCAGAAGCAGCTGTGACCCTCCCCCACTTCCAGGCATCTTCCAACCTCCATCTCTCCAGTAGAGATAATCCAAGATGTCTATAGACATTCAGCCATGTCCCTGTGGTAAGACAGGCCCACAAGAACCACAGCGCTGGAGAGGACATGGTTCCCATTTTCCCCCAGAAGTCAGACTGCCACTCCAGTTGGACCAGTGTGTAGTAGCTAGGGGTCCTTGCCAGCCTCTGCAGACCCTGCACAGCCCTTGGTTCCCTTCCTGTGGATTCCTCCGCACTACTGATGTGTCCTGGGTAGGTAGGTGCCTGGAACTCCTTGGGCTTTGCTGGACACTTCAGCTATCACAGATCCCAGGACGCGGTGAAACTTCCCCCTACTTTCTGACCTTGTTTTTCTACCTCCCCTTTTATACATTTGTGGAGCCAGTGGTTTTATGAACTGATCATGAACTCTCCAAGATGCCTGTTAGAGATTATCTTTATAGACATGGTGAGTCTCACCAGAGCCTTATTTAAGTGAAAGCTATTAAACTATTTAAAAGAAGATCACTGTTTTATTCAACACCTTTTGTTGCATGAACTTTTACTGGGGAGACAAACAAACTTTTATTCACTCCTAGTTAGATCACCAATGACACACACACACACACACACACACACACACACAAAATGGTTCTACATAGCCAGGCACAGTGACACGTACCATTAATCCTAGCACTTAGGAGGCAGGTGAATCTCTATGAGTTGGAGGCCAGCCTGGTCTACATAGTGAGTTTCAGGACAGCCAGGGCTATGTTTCAAAACAAAACACAAACAAAAAAATGGTTCTACCCAAGTCCAATGAGTTTTGTTTTGTTTTGAGATAGATAGCTCTGGCTATCCTGGGAACTCACTATGTAGACCAGGCTAGCCTAGAACTCACAGAGATCCTCCTGCCTCTGCCTCTCAAGTGCTGGGGTTAAAGGTTTATGCCACAATGCCCAATTTACCAGTGAGTTTCATTGGAGTTATTTGTAGGAACATGGGGCAACTTACAGACAGCTATACCACAAGAAAAGCCTTCCTCACTCAGCAACCATTGTGGGAGGGCTTTGCGTGGCTAAACTGCCTCATGCTCTCCCTCTCCTCTGTGAGGGCATGCTAACGGACTTGTGAGGGCCTCTGGCCATGTCCAGCCTGGAGGAGAGCATTACATAATTCTCTTGTATTTCTAAGAATGAGCATTATGGAGTCTGGGTAGAAGGCTCTGTGGGTAAAATACTTGTTGAACAAGTATGAGGACCCGAGTTTGGATTTCCAGAACCCATATACAAAAGCCAGGTACTGTGGTGTACACGTGTAACCCCAACAAGTCCTGGGGATCACTGACCAGCCAGTCTAGCGTAATTGGCGGACTCCAGGTATAAGGAGAGACCTTGTCAGAAGAAGGAGCACTGTTGAAGAAAACATCCATGCCTGCCTTTAGTCTCCACACGCACCAGCACAGGCAAGCACACATACACCCATACAATTATTTATTTATTTATTTTAAAAAGAATGAACATGTTTTGAGGATGTTTTATAACCTGCTCAGAAGGAAAGCAGCGAGGTGCCAGGCAGTCAGAGGAGCTCCTCAAAGCAGAGACATCAGTGATTCAGGAGCACTGGTGTGGCTGTAAGACCCCAACTGCTTTACTCAGTAACCACAGTGCTCTCTCGCCTGTCTGTGCAACTCTGTCGGTACTGTGCACAAATTTCCAGAGCAAGTAGCCTTAAACCAAATCATCAGAAGGACCGTAAAGTAACATACGAACATAAATTTTCCCCATAGTCTCCCAATTTTGATAAAAGCAATATTTTAAGGTTTATTTTTATGCATGCGTGTGTGAATGTACGCTACATGTGTGGGGCACTCACAGAGGCCAGAAGAGGACATCAGATCCTCTGGAGCTGGCCTTATGGACAGTTGTAAGCTGCCCAGAGAGGGAGAATCAAACTTGGGTCTTCTGAAAGAGCATGCTCTTAACCAGTGAGCTGTCTCTCTAGCCTGCCCTGTAGGATAGGGCCTGATTTTCACTTAGTGGGAACTTTCTAAGAAGCTCAGGCTGGGCTTCCAGAAGACTCCATAGTTGAGTTCCTGAGGCTGGGGTGCTATACCCAAGAAGACCTCTGTGCTGACTCGTGATTTTCAGTTTAACACAAGTGAAAACCATTTGGGAAGAGGGAGCCTCAGTTGAGAAAATGCCTACAGGCAATCTGGATGGACCCTGTGCAGCCATTGTGTGGGAGGGCCCAGCCCATTGTGGATGATGCCATCACTGGACAAGTGATCCTGAGCTTTATAAGAATTGAGCCAGGCAGCGGTGGCACATGCCGCCTTTAATCCCGGCACTCTGGGGCAGAGGTAGGTGAATTTCTGTGAGTTCAAGGCCAGCCTGGTCTACAGCACCAGTTCCAGGATAGGCTCCAAAAGCTACACAGAGAAACTCTGTCTCACAAAACAAAAAAGGAAAAGAAAACAGATTGAGCAAGTCATGAGGAGCAAGCTGGTAGCTTTGCTTCAGTTTCTGCCTTGAGTTCCTGCCCTCAGTGACGACCTGTGACCTGGAAGTTGTAAGGTGAAATTACCCATTTCCCTGAATTTGCTTTTGATCATGATGTTTTATCACAGTAATGAAAACCCTAAGACAACTCCATCCTATCGGTGCGAGGGGTGGAGTCTGTCTCAAGACAGTCTCCTCTCCTTCCTGCTCCCCCACCGTCTCACAGGTAATGCAACATTTATTATCTTGCATTTAAAAAAGTGTAGTGGGGCAATGTTAAGCTGATCGCATTGTGCAATCATCACACCAGCATTAAGAACTTTGTTAACTTGCAAAACAGACTGTCCCTGTCAAATATTAACTCCCCTCCCTACCCTTAGCTCCTAGCACCCATCTCCCTACTTTTTATGGATGAGTTTGACTCCTTTTGTACCTTTGTGAAGAAATTATCTCTTCAGCACGATGTCCTCAGGATTCACCTATGTTGAGGCAGGCGTCAACATTCCCTACTTTAGCCGGACGGTGGTGATACACACCTTAATCCCAGCACTTGGCAGGTAGGGGCAGGTGGATCTCTGCGTTTGGGGCCAGCCCAGTCTACAGCGTGAGTTCTAGCACAGCCAGGGCTACACAGAGAAACCCTGTTTTGAAAAAAAAAAAAAAAACCAAGTTTCTACCTTTCCAAAACTGGATAATACTCCATTGTTTGCATCTAGGACGGAGTTCAGTACTCCAGCTCTTGCTTCATATGTGAGAGTATCTGGGTTCAGTCAGTTTCAGTACCACAGGGCTGGAAGGAAAGCCAACTTAAAATATTCCATTGGCCACTGGGTGAGTGTGGTGGTTTGATGAAAATGGCTCCCATAGGCCCAGAGGAAGCAGCATTGTTTGGAGGTGTGACCTTTTTGAAGGAAGTGTGTTATGGGGAGGGGGGGTTGGCCTTATTGGGGGAAGTGTGTTATGTGTGTGTGGGGTTGACCTTATTGAAGGAAGTGTGTTATGGGGGCGTTGACCTTATTGAAGGAAGTGTGTTATGGGGGCAGGAGTTGACCTTATTGAAGAAAGTATGTTATGGGGGGTTGACCTTATTGAAGGCAGTGTGTTATGGGGGCAGGGATTGAGGTTTCAGAAGCTCAAATCAGGTCCAGTGGCTCCTGTCTCTTCCTGCTGCCTGCAGATCCAGATGTAGAACTCTTAGCTCTTCTCCAGCACCATGTCTGCCTGCTTGCTGCCTTGCTGATAATGGACTGAACTCTGAACTGTAAGCCAGCCCCAATTAAATGCTTTCCTTTGTAAGAGTTGCTGTGGTCATGATGTCTCTTCACAGCACTATAAAACTGTAACTAAGGGCTGGAGAGATGGCTCAGTGGTTAAGAGTATTGCCTGCTCTTCCAAAGGTCCTGAGTTCAATTCCCAGCAACCATATGGTGGCTCACAACCATCTTTAATGAGGTGCCCTCTTCTGGCCTGCAGACATACACACAGACACAATATTGTATACATAATAAATAAATAAATATTTAAAATAAATAAATAAATATTTTAAAAAACTGTAACTAAAACAGTTGGGGAAAGAGGGTCTTGCTGTGTTGTCTCTTGGCTACTGGGTTCAGTCAGCCTACCTCAGCCTCCCGTTAGCTGGGACTGCAGGGATGGCCCCCACTTCACTCACCTGTTCATCCGCCTGCTGACAGGTGATGGGTTGTTTCTGTCCTTGTGTGAACCGTGCTGCAGCCCATGTGGGTATAAAACTGACACTTTAGGACTTTGTCCGCAGCTAGCTGGGCAGTCTTTCCCTGTGGGGGAAGTTCCCTTCTCCTGGAGGCCCTGAGTGATACGGCCTCTCAGTACCTTGAAGCCCCCTGAATTGATGCAGTCACCTTCAAAGGGTAAGCAGAGACTGCTGCCTGGGCTTCAGGGGTACCACCTCCTCTCCTCAGCCGCTTCACCTGGGCCATCAGCTCAGACCCGGGTTCTGACACCCTCAGGCTGTGTCTTGTGGAAGGAGAATGTAGAAACTATAGCAAGGTGGGGCTGAGTGTCTGTAACCTTAGGCAGCCATAATCAGGGTAGGATAGGCAGGCTTCTGCCACAGCCCAGGATGAGGTGGGCCATGAGAGGGTGAGCGTGCAGCAGCTAGCCGAGTGCCGACGGAGTCAGCTAGATAATTTGTTTTCTGGTAAATTCTCAGCAAGATCCTATAACCTGCTTCTCACAGTTCCAGGCTCTAGAAGCAGTCACTGGGATGTGGAGGTCCTCTGGCTGTCCCGAGGAGTTTTGGGTAGAAAATCTTGGCCACGATGGACAGGGGGCCTTTCAGAGGTAGCTAGAAGGGCGTAAGAGGGAGCCTTCCTGGGGAGGGCTGGTCGAGGTGTTAGGATCTTACAGCGATCATGTGTAAGCTGCATTTGTCTTGAAGAGTGGTCTTCACATACAGGGCAGTGGGTTCAGAAGCTCGGGAGCAGACACCCTGGAGACACCAGAGTGAGCAGTGAGGGGAAGCTTGACTCCCTTTCTTCTTCCCTCACTTACCATTCCCTTATCAGCTTGTGGAGCTCAGCTGGGCCCACCTCCTCAGCCCTGCACCGTGCACAGAGCTCGCCTGGCTGTGTTTGAAGGCTGAGCCACAGTCATCAGGTTCTCAGATCCTTAGATTGATCAATGCCAGACCCTTCCTCCTGATTCAGTGTCTCGAAACATGTTTTTAGGGCTTCCAGATCAGTTCAGGATTCCTGTTGCTGTCCGGGGGGGTCTCTCTCCTGCAGGCCTGGAACACTGAGAACAAATCCTCTTTGCTTCCCAGAAACAGAGTCGGTAGAGAGTGTGGGCATGAATGTGTGTGGGCGCCTTTGACCAGGCTGGGAGTGTTTTTGTTTGCTCAGCCCACAGCCTTGCACACAGTCATTGACATATTCCACTTCTGGCCAAAAGAGGGCACTGCCGGACAGAGCCGTGTCAACCTCGGGATTCTGTGGGGACTGGTACTACCTAGTGTCCTTCTCAGGATAGAAGGGGGAGAGGGGC